TGTTATTAGAGGTGGCACCGTGGCAGACACTGTTTAATTTTGGTCTTCTTCTGTCCTAGTCTTCTAACACGAAACAATTTCAATTTTTTTTTCTGGCCTATATATGTACATATACATGTACTTGTTTTTAACACGTAAAAATAAATCATGTACTATTTTTTATGAAAATAAAAAAAGAATAGTAGGAGACAACTATTTTAGAGTGCTAATAATCGTTCGAGAGATTTATATATTGCAATTGATAACATTTTTCGCCATTCAATTCAACTTCAGTTCGTATGTTGAATAGGCTACGGTAATTTCATGACATTACTACAATTCATGCCTACAATTAAGTTTTATGAACTACCCTGTACTCCTAAGGACAGGGCAGCTTGAGGCTGTCTCTTGGGAAGAAGTAGCCAATTTTTCACCCTTCAAAAGACCTCCAAGCAGTTGTCCAGGGTCGTAAAAGAACTCCACCTTCACAATTTTGTTGTGCTCATCCACATGCTTGGGAAAAACAATCCCCTAATCAATCAATTAATTAATTAATTAATTAATTAATTAATAGAAATGGACAAAGATAAGATTGTTGAGACATAGTGTTATGAATCCACTCAAATTCTAAAATGTGTACATCATGAACCAACAGTCGAACATCTCAATATCCAAATCAAACTAGACGAGCTTTTAACCTACTTAGAGAGGCCGAGTAGGGTTAGAGAAGTACCATAAAAATGGACATTCCATACACTTCAACCAATTCTCCATGTAACCCCCGTGCCTAAATTTGTACACAATCTCTGGTGGCCCAGAATAGACTTGCAAATTTGTACAAGGGAATGTGTCAAATTAAGGAGAAATATTGAAGGTTGAGTAGAGATAATGGAGAGTGTAGAGAATTTTGGGAGCTATGCATATTTTCTGATTTCAACATATGTTTCATTCTATTACACATCAAAACATATATACATGTAATAACCCTAAAACATTCCATGAAACATTCCCTAAGACATTCCATGAAACATTCCCTAAAACAAGGATTACATTGCTCAAGAAAAGTATTCCCTAAAACAAGGAATGAGACAAGTGCCATGAGACAAGGGGTGTCTTGTGTTTCATGTCTTTGTGTTCCACAAAGGACAATCACACAAGAAGCCAATATTGCTAACAGAATGTTGTTGTGAAAGCCTTATGAGATGACTCTGATGTTTCCTTGTCTGGATTATATCCCCTCAGATTCTCAGGCAGTGAGGTCTGAAGCAAAGGGTTGTAACCCCCTCCAAGTTTGCCTATTTCTTCCAGGGTTATGCCTTTCCTTCCTGATATTTGTTGATTAATGATTGATTATTTCAATGCTTAATTAATTAATTAATACTAATTTATATATCACTAGATATTAATTATTACCATTTAGACTGAAAGTGTACTCATTGGGATCAAGTGTCTTGAAATCATCAAGGTTGGCCTTATGGAAAAGCTCCATCTCCCATGCATGTCTTTACAAGGTTCTGCACCTCTTCTTCTAGTGACCCAGGTGGCCATATCTAACATATACATAGTTCCATCCAGAGTTAATTTCACACCAATATATATATATATAAATTATAATTAATCATTTGTAGAATGGCATCAATATAGTCGCACCACAGAAGTCATCAATGACATAATTACAGATGGTAGATGCCCCTAGGTCTGCATATATCCATTACTTATCTCATCCTGATGAAGATATCCACATATATCCTAAAAAAGACACGAAGAGGTATTTATGGTTATCAAAATAATGTGCTTACATGTGAAGTTGTTAAATGTCAAAATCACACACACTATCTTTTCTCTTAATAAGGTAAGGTGGGTTGATCATTCCTCCGCACAAAACACAGCATTCCGCAGCAGTAAATAATCATCAAACAACTCACATTTTGTAATGTAGCAGTGGAACTCCTTCCCGTGCTGAAGATTTGCTGCTAATTGTTATGTAATTACGTTCAATTGCAGAATGAAGCTTCCTCAGCTTGATCCATGCGGGAATAACCAAACAGCCTCTGCATCTCCTACTTCAGCTGAATCATGGAAGCATGACGTGTTTTTGAGTTTCAGGGGTGAAGACACTCGCAGGGGCTTTATTTCTCATTTAGACCGTGCATTGGCGTACTGGCAAGCAATGAAAACTTTCAAGCACGACCGAGACATTGAAGTAGGACCAATTTCTCCGGAGCTGTTGACCGCAATTGAACAATCACATCTTGCCATCATTGTTCTCTCCCCCAATTATGCTTCTTCCACATGGTGCTTGGATGAACTTTCCAAGATTCTTGAATGCATCCAGGAGCAGGACACCAGAATTCTGCCTATCTTTTATAACGTGGATCCTTCCGATGTACGAAACCAAAGGGGGAGTTTTGCGGAAGCCTTCACTAAGCATGAAGAAAGGTTTAGTGAAGATGTAAAGAAGGTGAATCGGTGGAGAGCTGCTTTAAGAAAAGTAGCCAATCTCTCTGCGTGGGATTCAAAGAATTATAGGTAAGCATACATATCCATGCATGAAAAACTTGCTTGTGTCTTAACAAGAGCCCTACTTGGAGGTTACGTTTCAGTTCTTGCCTTAATCAATAACCTTGGAGGTTATATTTACGGATTAATGGTTATTTTGCTTTTCTTCCTTGTAGGTCGGAAGCAGAGCTTGTCGAAGAAATTGTCAAATGTGTGTGGAAGGAAGTCCATCCTACATTCATGTTGTCAGGTTCTCTAGAGAATTTAGTTGGAATTGATTTTGCACTTAAACAACTACGATTACATTTAGCTCCCGAAGAAAATGACGTCCGCTTTATAGGGATATGGGGGATGGGCGGGGTAGGCAAAACAACCCTTGCTAACTTAGTTTTTCAGAAAATTTCCCATCATTTTGAACATAGCTGTTTTCTATCTGATGTGAGAAAGAAGAAGCTCTCTGCTCTGCAAACACAAATTCTTTTCCCAATTTTGAAGGGAGATCATATTTGGGATGAATGGGAGGGAACCTTTTTTATTAAGAAGTATTTATGCAATAAAAAGGTACTTCTCGTCCTTGATGATGCAGATCAATTAAGCCAACTAGAAAAACTGGTTGGAGAGAAAAATTGGTTTGGTGTGGGGAGTAGAATCATCATCACAACTAGAAATGAACGTCTACTAGTTCAGCATGGTACAACGAACCATAAGGTCGATGTGTTAAATGATGATGAAGCTCTTGAGCTCTTTTGTCAACATGCCTTTAAGAATGATCAGCCTGAGGAAGGTTTTCAAGAACTGTCTCAGCATTTCCTACATTATTTTTTTTTTTGAATAGAAACTTATATATTCAAAATAGAAACAGTAACCACAGAAACGAGAAAACACAGGTGGATAAGGAATCCACGGGGAAACAAAATAGGGAGCCTCAGCTCCCACAAGGAACCAAGCCTGGAAAGGAGAAAACAAAACAGCCAAGAAAATACAAACACCATAACACGAAACAGGGAAACAAGAAGGCCATCACTTCACAGCCGCACACAAGTCGCGACTAATAACAGAGGCATTCAAATCCTTAAAAGCATTGGTGACGGAAGCCCATAAAGCAGCCCAAAACTTCACTCTATCCCAGAGTTCATCCACCCCCGCCCCCTTATAGTCCTCGAAAATCCTTTTATTCCGTTCAAAGATCATTGATTTAAGTTACTATTAGAATACCCCAAAAAAAAAAAAAGTATTGAATTGTTGGGTTGGATTCCAACGGCAACATCACATAAGCTTGACATGTGGCGTGACACAGCTGCCGTAAAGCAGCAACACAGCAGCAGGTGGGGCCAACGTCAAATTCCTTACACATGAGCTGCTTCAGCTGCATGTGGGCTCCACTGAAATGTTTTGGGTCCTGGCAATAGCTAGACTGCTATTTAGCCCCAAATTTTGGCCCCTTCATTTTCTTGAATTGGGAGAGGTTTTGGGTTATATTTTGGGATATTTTGAATTTGGCTTCATGGATTGGAGATGGCCGAAGGGTAAAAACAAAATTTTCTCAAGTACTGGGGGGTTTAGGCCCAAATATGGCTCCGCCCCTGTTCTCAACTACTCTTGCAACAGCAAAGTTAATATATTATTATTTGTGAAGCAAATATGGTAACTTATGCTTTAGGTAATAATATTTGTCACCTAAGCCAAATATTTGTAATTGGTTTAGTAGTCTACATTTCTCTATGGCTTGAGTTATTGTATAATAATTAGAAACTTTAGGATTCCAAGAGGATCCTCGTGTAGTTTTCTTTTGACAAAGAAAAAAATAAGTATAGTTTGAGCCCAAAAGCCTTTAGCTCATCAAGTGGCATGGATATATATGGGATGAAGGGAGAAATTAAGACCTTGGTTTCCTTACTTGTGCCTTATCTGGAACAGATCCACTCGATTATTTGGATATATGGGTTGGAGGGGTTTCTATTGGAGGCTAGGGTTCATATACAGATAAGTAATTGAATTGGAAAGGATAAATATTCTTTATTGGAAAGATTACGAACGTTCTTGGAACATTCGTAGGGGATTTAACTTGGAATATTGGAAAGACAAGTGGCTCATCATCCACGTGGCCCTTCTGTATTGGTTGTGTTATTAGAGGTGGCACCGTGGCAGACACTGTTTAATTTTGGTCTTCTTCTGTCCTAGTCTTCTAACACGAAACAATTTCTATTTTTTATTTTCTGGCCTATATATGTACATATAATACATGTACTTGTTTTTAACACGTAAAAATAAATCATGTACTATTTTTTATGAAAATAAAAAAAGAATAGTAGGAGGCAAGCCTTCAAGCCTATCAATTTCAACAATACGAGCTTCTGCCAATTTCTTGGTAGCAGCCACATCGCCGAACACCTCTTTGCTCCAGACTCTCAGTTTCCCCTTTACGGCTTTCAACCTCCTCATGAAATTAAAACCCGGCCACCCAATCAGATGCTCTTCCGCCCACCAATCCTTAAAGTTCCTGTTAAAGTCCGGATGTTCCAGCCACATGTTTTCGAATCGGAAAGGGCCCGGACCCCATTTCAGCTTTGAGGTATCCAACTCAATAGGACAATGATCAGAAGTGACCCGGACCAACGCCTTCTGTCTAAAATTTGGAAAACAGTCTTCCCAACCTCCGGTGAATAGAAAGCGATCAAGTCTTCTACACACCACGTTTTCTCTACCGTTAGACCAGGTAAACGAAGCATTAAGGAGACGGGGATCCCGCAGGTTTGTGTCATTAATGAAGTTATTGAAGGTCCTCATGCTGCTAGTCACCCCGCCCCCATTAGACTTATCAGAAACAAACCTGACTACATTAAAGTCCCCTCCAATGCACCAGTTTTCACCACACAACCCATAGAGAGCAGCAAGCTCTACCCAAAAACGACCTCTGTCCCTTTGGCGGCAAGGACCGTAAATACCAGAAAGCCACCAATCTGCCCCCGAGGTACCTCTAATTTTAATGGACACCGAAAATTCTGCGATTTCAGAATCGATTACCGAGACGAACTGCGTATTCCAGATAATCACAATACCCCCAGACCTGCCAGTCGAAGGAACAAACACCCAATCCCTGAATCTAGAGCACCACACGCTGGCCACTAGTCTCCTGTCAATTTCTTGTTTCTTAGTTTCTTGTAATATTACAATGTCCGGCCTAAGACGAGTCAACTGCTCCTTCAAGACCAGCCTCTTTCTTTTGCTTCCCAGACCTCTTATATTCCAAGAGATAATCTTCATTGATTAAACTGATCAGCCCTTTGTACTACTGTTTGCTCCAAGTTGTCCACTGCCAAACCTGTAGCATGAGAATGCCCATCCCCCTTTTTGCCATTATCACAGCTCGAACTTGCTTTACCTTGTAAGACTAAGTTCTTCCTAATAGGAACAAGAGACAAATTCAATAAAGATAAGACTCTAGCATGTTTGCCTTTAACTTGCCTGCTACCTTTGCCCGTGCCCTTTTTCTTTTTCTTTTTCGTTCTATAATGCTTTAGAACCAGACTCTGCTCAGAATTAGCGTCACTAACGGTGACCCCGTCCCCTTCCTCTGCAATCCTCATCTCATTTGTGATATGGACAGAAGGAGCCGTGCAGTAATCCTTGGACTTGAAAATACTTACCCCCGCTCCACCTTTGGTCCTTTCCCCCAAGTCGGTTTCTCCAGCAGGGTTTAGGACTGGATGGTAATTAATGGTTGCTCCAGCAGACTCAGTTGTAACGTTTGTCGTGCCCCGATCTTCAAGAAGAGTAGCAATAGAACCGTCATCGCATTCGATGACATCGACCCCTTCCTCTGCCTCAGAATTAAGATCTCCCTCCAGCAACTCCTCTGAAGAAATAGATACCCCCTCGAAAGAGTCGTAAGGTTCCCCTTCTGCAGCCTCCTTCGAATTCTGGGCATCCCTTGCTTTAACGGCTCCCTCCTTTCTTTGAAGAACAGGTCCCATTCCTTCAGGTTTTCCAAATTTTGAATAAAAATTTGATTGAGAAAATTCAGACTCAGCATCGGCCTTTTGAGGTTGAGAGCGTGACCTGGCCTTCCTGTTGCTGTTTGAAGGAAATATAGTTTCCGAGGATAATAGTCTGTTGTCCCTAGTAGAAATAAAACCCTTCGAGGCCCCATCAAAAGGAAAACCCCTTCCAAAGTCCTCAGAAGGTAGGGAATTATTGCCGTGCCAGCCTCCAATAAAATAATCCTTCTGTCTCTTAAACACACACTCCCCATCAGAATAACATAACACACACCAATGGGGGGATAAGCACATAAAAGGACGATGTCTCTGCAAGAGATCGCAGGAATTAACTTTTCCAATAACAGCTTGCCAAACGAGAACCTTAACCTTTGGAGGAGTTTTACTTTTCCAAATCAGATTGTATGGGGGAAAACTCTCCACAGACCCGTTATCTTGAATGAAGGAATAGAAAGAGTGGCAAGAGAACAACCCTGATTGATCTAACTTCCATCTTCTGTAATCCCTCCTAGAGGGGTTAATCCTAACTTCATCAAGGATAACCAGCAGCCTGGTCACCTCGTCAAATTCCCCCACCGTGAGATTTCTTCTAAAACCAAGATCCCAACTGTGAGGAAACACACCGTGACTCACAAATGCAGAAATGTTGGCATTCTGTTTGCTGGACAGATTGAAAAGTCTGGGAAAAACCTCTTTGAGGACACCCCCCCTGCTCCAATCATCCTCCCAAAATCTCACCTTGTCCCCGTTACCCACCACAAGGTCACAGCCAAGAAGAAACACTGGGTAACCACGAGAAATATTATTCCACGGACTACGACAAGAACTACGCAACGGAATGCTAACGTTCCAACCATTGGCACTCTCCCCATAGATGCTACTAATCACCTTGTGCCAAAGTGACTCAGGTTCTTTGGGAAACCGCCACAGCCATTTGGCACACAACACCTTGTTTCTTGAGTTTAAAGACCCTACCCCTAGGCCACCGTTGCGTTTTGGTTTTCCAACAATCTCCCACTTAACCAAGTGAGAGGACTTCCCATCGTCCAAACCCTCCCACAAGAAATCTCTCATCAGCTTCTCAACAATCTTCACAATACGACTTGGCATTTTGAAAAGCGACAAGTAATAAATGGGGATGTTGCTTAAGACGGCCTGAATCAAAGTTAGCCTGCCGCCTTTGGATAAACAAGCCTTTTTCCATTTTTGCAGCCTTTTATCAACCCTCTCCACAACTGGGTTCCAGAAACTAAGGGCTCTGGGGTTCCCACCAAGGGGGAGGCCCAGGTACAAGGTAGGCCAGATTCCCAGCTCGCAGCCCCAAACCTCAGCCAACCCAGAAACAACCTCCTCATTATGATTGATGCAAACTAAAGAACATTTCTCCTTATTAGCCTGTCGATCTTGATTCTGTAATCCTTTTTTTCTACCCTGAAAAATCTTGGAATATGCCTCGCACTCCAACCCATTCTCAACCTTACCACCCAAACCCAAGATCTCACTGGATATTTTCCTGAATTTAATCAAAGTAAGGATTACAGAATCAAGATCGACGACTTGACGTACGGTGGCTCGATTCTAATCACTGAGAAGACCAGAGAGCGTTTCTTCCACGTTTCTCTCGAACTGGTGTGCGTGAGATGGCTGATAGAACAACTAAAAGAGCTTTTGGAAAACGCAGAGCAGGGTTTCTTTCGAAGGTTTAGGGGAGACTCGTATCAACTTTGGGTGAAGAAGTCCAGCAACAACATTGGGAGTTTCTTAGTCTTGACAAAGAATGTACATGGTGTGTTGAAATCTGTGATGGTTCCACAAGGAAGAGCTGATGAGGGGTGGTTGTTGCTCCAGAAAAATCTGCTGGCAATCTTGAACGGTGAAAATGAAGGGCCTGGTAGAGATTACTCATGCAGACCTGAACGCGCAGGGTGCAAAAGGCCTTCCATTAGCTCTTAAAATTTTGGGGCGTTCTTTGTATGGGAGAGATCAAGATCTATGGAAAAGTGCGTTGTATAATCTAAACAAAATTCCTGAACCAGAACTTTTTGATTCACTCAAAGTGAGTTATTATGGATTAAAAGAGATGGAGAAGAAATTTTTTCTCCATGTTGCGTGTCTCCATAGAGGGAGGGATAAAGAGCAAGTAATTGAAACACTAGACAGTATCCTTGACATTTCCAGTCGTATTGGGATAGATATTCTTGTTGAGACATCTCTCTTAACTGTTGAGAAACTCCACTCTCAGGGCAACAGTGTTGAGATGCATGACTTGATACAAGAAATGGCATGGAGAATTGTTCGGGAAGAATCTCCCGAAGAACCTGGTAAACGCAGTCTTTTATGGTGTCGCAAAGACATTTTTCATGCATTCATGAACAATACGGTAAGAGGTTATGTAGAAATACTATATATATGTATTTATGTCTTTGCACACCTGCACACTTGAGTGAATTATTGAACGAGAGAATCAGTTTCTTCAATGTGGAATTCACTGTTTCCTTTTTCTTAATTATATATTAGGTTACTGAAGCAATTGAAGGCATAGCCTTACGTCTGCCCGAATTAGAAGTGGTGCACTGGAATTGTACTGAAGCCTTCGATAAGATGCAGGGGTTAAGGTTTCTTGAATTTGATAATGTTATGATTTCTTCAGCCCCTAAAGTTCTTCCAAATTCCTTAAGAATTATTCGTTGGAATTGGTATCCTTCCAAATCTCTCCCACCAAGGTTTGAACCATGTTTCCTTGCTAAACTTGAGATGTGTTATAGCAAACTTGTCCGCCTTTGGGATGGAGCAAAGGTACCGTGAGATTATTGAATATGGCATTTTGTAATTATTAATATTTTGAGTGTGAATATACCTTGTTCTAACTTGTAAGGTTTTGGAAACTTATAATAATCAACAACTTTTATGTACTGTACAGGATTTCCCGAAGTTGAAACATATGGATCTTAGTTACTCTGATAAATTGACTAGTGTCCCAGATTTCACACGCATTACGAATCTTGAGGAATTGATTCTGGATGGTTGTATGGATTCTTGTTGAGACATCTCTCTTAACTGTTGAGAAACTCCACTCTCAGGGCAACAGTGTTGAGATGCATGACTTGATACAAGAAATGGCATGGAGAATTGTTCGGGAAGAATCTCCCGAAGAACCTGGTAAACGCAGTCTTTTATGGTGTCGCAAAGACATTTTTCATGCATTCATGAACAATACGGTAAGAGGTTATGTAGAAATACTATATATATGTATTTATGTCTTTGCACACCTGCACACTTGAGTGAATTATTGAACGAGAGAATCAGTTTCTTCAATGTGGAATTCACTGTTTCCTTTTTCTTAATTATATATTAGGTTACTGAAGCAATTGAAGGCATAGCCTTACGTCTGCCCGAATTAGAAGTGGTGCACTGGAATTGTACTGAAGCCTTCGATAAGATGCAGGGGTTAAGGTTTCTTGAATTTGATAATGTTATGATTTCTTCAGCCCCTAAAGTTCTTCCAAATTCCTTAAGAATTATTCGTTGGAATTGGTATGAGAGATCCGCTTCTTGTTATGAAAAACCTTAAACGTCTATCCTTCAGCGGATCAGTTGCTAAACCATCCACTTGCATTGGCAATGGCATTGCCGCTTGGGGTTTGGTTTTGTCTTCTCTATATCATTTATGCTCTTTGACAAAATTAGATATGAGTGATTGTAATATTGGTGAAGGAGCCATTCCCGATGGTATCGGCAACTTGTCTTCTTTACGATGGTTACTTCTGTGTGGAAACAATTTCGTCAGCCTTCCTGCAAGCATTAGATTCCTTTCTAACCTTGACTGTCTTGAATTGCAGAGGTGCAAAAGGCTTGAGCAATTGCCAGATCTTCCGTCAAATAGTTTCTTATACGTAGATGCAAATGATTGTACTTCCTTGAAGAGGTTGTCAGATCCATCAAAGTCTAGCGGAGGAGCCAACATGTATGATTTTATTTTCACCTGTCTTAATTGCTTCAGCTTGGTTAAAGAAGAAGGCTGGATTAACAGAATATTTGCAATGATAATGAGATTGGCCAGTGAGGTACTCTCAGCTCCTTCTCAGTTCCATATTATGATATTCTTTTCTTTTTCTATAAAAAAAAATGTTATAATGGTACTTCTCTTGGTACAGGGTCTCTATCCAATGTGGACTGGTAACTTAATTGTATGCCCTGGAAGTGAGATTCCAGATTGGTTCGAGAATCCAAGTGTGGGAGATTCAATAACTATGGAACTGCCTCTACCTCCACAACCATGTAGCGACTGGGTTGGTATTGCTTTATGTGTCGTTTTTGAAGATTCTGAATATTTGGAAAATCCAGACACCCTTCTTGATTATGATTTTTTAAAAATTGAATGTCTGTTGGGTGCGCATGAGACTTTGACGGTGGGGCATCTTGAGTCACAACACCTTTGGCATTTTTACTTGCCTTGCGATGATATTAAGCATCAAATCCAACTAATAGGAAAAGAGGATGGCTCGTGCAGTCATCGCTTTTCATTCAAATCGCATTATTGTTTAAAAGGATCTCCAGACAAATTCCTCGAAACAAGCTCGATTATAAAGAAATGTGGAGCACGTTTGGTGTTCAAAAGAGATTTGGAAGAATTCAGCCGAATACTGAAAATCCCGAAGCCAGCACTACTTGATGCATACAGCAGTGACAAGGAGGCAGGACCAATTGGTAGTAGTGGAAGTGGTAGCTCTGATGACGAAAATGAACCAGGAAATTAGCTCTGATGAACGCGATGGACCAATCAGCAAAAGACTGAACGACCAAAGATATTTGAAGATAACGCTTTTATAGGAAGACTGAAAATTGGTTATTCCCAGTTCCCAGTAAAAGCAGTATCTGTTGTTGATAAAGGCAACTTTGCATATCAAACTGATACACAGCCAAAGTACCTTACTTATCCTATAATTTGTTGGAACTATTGTCCAGTGAATGCCATTTTTTTTGTTATGCCCTAGTTCTGTGTATTGGGAGCATAGATGTAACAATGCTGCCCCCATCATACCATCCCTCATTCATAAGCACACTACACCACAAATTCACATCTATAGCACTTCAAAAACACAATAGATCCTCAATTTATTGATTAATCTCAAGCTGAGCACTCAAACTCGATTAGTTTTCGTTACATCAAATTAAGAATATCCAAAACTAGTTCACCTATAAGAACTACCAACCTCCATGTTGGTTTGCAGACATGTAAGCTTGAAAGAACTGTGATCAGGCTCACGTTTTTTACAGCTCAAGTTTAAGAGCAGACTTGTTTACCTTTCCTACTATCCACCTGTATAATACATAAATAAGAAATTTGTATCCCAAGCAATAATTCTCAAGCACACTACACCGCAAATTCACATCTATAGCACTTTAAAAACACAATAGATCCTCAATTTATTGATTAATCTCAAGCTGAGCACTCAAACTCGATTAATTTTCGTTACATTAAATTAAGAATGTCCAAAACTAGTTCACCTATAACATACAACGAAATTTCATCTACTTCGTGATACTTCTTAGGAAAAGAAAAAACCTACATACAAACAGAGAAAAAGAACAAGAATAGTAGATGGACAATTAGGGAGCTGCTTTGTAGTTTTCATAGGTACACTTTTTTCAATCATCTATATGCATACATATACTTGATTTAGAAGAACTATGTACCAACCTCCATGATGGGTTTGCAGACATGTAAGCTTGAAAGAACTGTGATCAGGCTCATTTTTTTTACAGCTCCAGTTTAAGAGCAGACTCGTTTACCTTTCCTACTGTCAACCTGTATAATACATGAATAAGAAATTTGTTGGTAAAATTAATTAAAGAAAGTATGCATATATGTGAAAAGCATGAAAGATTGCTTATGGAAACAATAGGGAATATTTATCTATACATAGGATGAGCCTGACAAGTTTTTTTGGTGGTTCTTATACTAGTACTGTCACCAGTCCATATTAGAACAAAATTCTGCTACAGCTTATAATGCTTTACATGCATTGCATTAACCAAGCAATAATTCTCAATCACAATTATTCATATTATCCCATCAAACTAGAATCCGTCTATCTAAGCATTCATATAATATAAATAGCAAAAATAGAAACTTATATGATACGAGAATATAAATTTACACAACAGCAACAAGAAAACTGAAGTAAAAATAACAATCTGTCTTTCCTTACCTTTTCCCCAGCAACCGAAGAAAAGCAAAGACAAACCCTGCAATCCAAAAAAGAAAAAAAATAACCACTAAGTATGCATCTGTGCAACCGCATAACATTAAATTTCACACAATGTTTGTAATTGAAACCTCGCCTTGCCAACCAAAAAGGCACAGAAAAGCAAATCTCTACCGGTGGCCAAACAGCAAACATCTCTTAATTTAACATGAATGTACAAGGACAAACACAATCAATGAGTGAAGATGAAAATGTTTCCAGATTTGAGTAAATTCATAATACAATAGCAAATTCTGCAATCACAGTAAGAACCAGTTAAAATTTTATAATAATAAAAAATAAGCCTAATATTTCTAGAAATTTAAGCAAACAAAAGAGGAAGCTGCAAACTACTGATCCCCACACACTGAAATTAACATCTGCAAAAATAAATCCATGTAACAATCAAACCATCAATGCAGATAAAAGGGGAAACACAATCGAAGTGTTGTTTGTGGGTTTGGTTAGTTTGGGGAAACGAGAGAATCAGAAAGAAGACAAAGAGACACACGACGGAGGGCATTGACCGCTGCGGAGAAGGCAAAACAAATAGACCATAGCCCTAGATTTATGTACTCATGACACAACAAAGGGGTTTACCCATCACTGAGGCGATGGAGAGATTCGAGACTGCGCCGACGTATAGAAGATTGAGCGAGAGATAGAGTGAGACAGAGAGTCAGCGAGAAATTTTAAACAGCCCCACTCTAGTTTTCAGTTTCCGCGCGCGCTCAATAGTGTTTTATTTATTTATTATTTATTTATAGAGTAAACTGTTGAATTAATGGATTAGGAAAGAGAATTTGATTGAATTAATAATTAAAGGGTATTTTAGGAATAATGGTGGGTGTAAAGATAGGATTGTGTTTTTTGTGTTTGGTTTGTAAAAGTTTAGGAGGAGGGGAGGCTATCCCGTCCCAGGGCCAGTGTGAGAACTTACAGAGGGGGTCTTAACGCCCTTATTTTGTTTTTACAGATTACCCACCAAGAGGGATTGTCAGTAGTGAGACTCGAACCTAGGCCTTGATAGTGAATAGAACGATCATTTCCAACTCAATTAATAGGATTGTGTTTTTTCAAATTTACATGGTGGGTGAGGAAATAGGACAGGAGGTGGAAATAGTAGCATTCATATGTAAATCATGAGGAATGTCACACATATACAAAGAAAGAAAGCAGAACACATAAATCATGAGGAATGTCACACATATAAGAGGAAGAAGGGCATTAAACTTGGCGTTTATTTAGGATTTATTTTTATTTTTTTAATTTACGTTTTTTTAGGAAATATATTTGTATGTATTAATTAGGAAATATATATTTTTAATGGATTAGCAAAGAGAATTTGCTTGAATTAATAATTAAATGATATTTTAGGAATAATAGTGGGTGGAAAGATATGATTGTGTTTTTTCAAATTTACATGGTAGGTGGGGAAAGAGAATAAGGGATGAAAATTGTAGCACTCATATGTAAATCAGAAGGAATGTCACACATACACATAAATAAATCAATTAACAAAACATTTTGTTCTCATGTAATGATATTATTCTTCTTTTTTATTATTATCTAAATTTGGGCAAACAACAAGGAGCAAGAAAACATTAGAACTTTGGACTGTTGAAAGAAGAAAACTCAGAGTGGTTTAACTAAGAGAAAGAACGAAAGAAAGAAAGAAAGATGTGTTCTTTAGGAGGCATGGTATTGACTTTTTCAAGCTTTCTGTGCTTGTTCCTGGTCTTAGTTCTCATCAAGATCCTTCACAAGCTATGGTGGACTCCAACTCGCATACAGAAGCAGATGGGTCTGCAGGGGATCCAAGGCCCTCCTTACAGACTCATCCATGGAAACAACAAAGAAATTTCCCAGATGATGAAAGAAGCCATGGCCAGGCCCAAAAGTATATCCCACGACACACTTTCTTTAGTCCAACCTCACATTCACTACTGGACCAAGATTTATGGTAAGAAATGATCTCAATTAGCTAGCTTTTTTAGTTTTTTTTGGTTGTGGCTTTTGTTCCAAGTATTAAATATTGGTTATCTTTATCAACAGGAAAGAATTATCTGCAGTGGCATGGTTCTCAAGCTCAATTGGTGATCACAGAACCTGAATTGTGCAAACAGATACTGAATAACAAAGATGGAGATTATCCAAAAAAAGAGGTTCAAAACTTTGTAAAGAAGCTATTAGGAGATGGCCTGGTGTCAACAACCAAAGCTGAAAAATGGGAAAAATTGAGAAAGTTGGCCACTCTTTCCTTCCATGGAGAGAGCTTAAAAGTAAGTTTCTTTGCCTTTGATGGTAATTTCTTGCAAAGAGTAGTGTAGTAAATTAGGTATGGTAGTGAAGTTAAATCTGATGGGATGGTATTGTTTTACTAGAGTATGATTCCAGCAATGGTAGCTAGTACTGAGACAATGCTAGGAAGGTGGAAAAATTATGAAGGAAACGAGATTGATGTGCTTCAAGAGTTTAGGTTGTTGACTTCAGAAGTGATTTCCAGAACAGCATTTGGCAGCAGCTATATTGAAGGAAAGCATATTTTTGAGATGTTGACCAAGTTAGGCTTCATAATCTACAAAAATTATCTCGCAATCAGGGTTCCTGTCATTAGGTAACTTCATTTCAACTAAATCATTGGGGAACTGCATGGATAGCCATTCAATCACCGTTCTCTTAGTTATTGATTGATTGATTGATTAATGTGTGACATTCTTACTTCTCAATATAAATGGCATCCGAATGATCTTTGGTTGGTCAATTTCGGGATCCATTCAATTTGCTAGCATACACTATGTACCTTACTATGTTAATAAACACAGATTCATGCCTAAAAAATTCTCTGTATCTTCTTCAAAAAATCAGACTCATGCTTATGCTCTCCGTAAAATAGAAGAGATATTGATGCAAATACAAAATTTGAATTGACCACAAATTTGCCCTATAGCCGGGAGAAACATACTGAAACAAATTTGCAATATATAGCTGGGAGAAACATACTCAATTTCATTTTCGTTGTATAGTTGGCGCATTATGCAGAGAACCGTTCTTCTTTTATTGTTTTCCCATATGAGTGAGCATTACTTCTGTTCTCATGTTTAGTCTTTCATTGAAAATTGTAGTAAGTTCTTCAAAACCAGTGATGAGATAGAATCGGAGAAACTTGAGAAAGGTATACGGGACTCTATAATAGAGATTATTAAGAAAAGAGAAGAGAAGGCAATGACCGGAGTAGAAGACAGATTTGGAAGTGATTATCTTGGATTACTTGTAAAGGCTCAACATGATGCCAATGACAGCCAGAGGATTTCGGTGGACGAAGTAGTTGATGATTGCAAGACGTTTTACATGTCCGGACAAGAAACTACTACTACTTTGCTTTCTTGGACTGTGTTGCTTCTGGCAATCCATACAGATTGGCAAGAGGAAGCAAGAAAGGAGGTCATACAATTATTTGGCAAAGAAACTCCACATCCCGATGGCATTTCCAAACTGAGAACAGTAAGAAAGTCAAGAACACAAAGAATTTTTCTTGTAAGTGGCAGAAATATATTCTCAATTCAAATTTTAAATCCTGATTTGTTATCTCTGTTTCATTTTCATGCAGATTAGTATGATCATTAATGAGTCTCTAAGGTTATATCCTCCACCTGTTTCAATTATAAGGAAAGTTGAAAAGGAAGTTAGACTGGGAAAGCTCACTCTTCCTCCTAATCTTGACATGGTTATCTCAACCATAGCAATTCACCATGATCCTGAAATCTGGGGACAGGATGTGCATCTTTTCAAACCAGAGAGATTCTTGGAAGGGGTTGCTAAAGCAACTAACAATAACATAGGTGCATTCATACCATTTGGATTGGGACCTCGAACTTGTGTGGGCTTGAACTTTGGCTCCACTGAAGCAAAAATTGCTCTGTCAATGATTCTACAACGCTACTCCTTCACTCTTTCCCCTGGTTATGTTCACTTTCCCTTGCATTATCTTACAGTTCGGCCGCAGCTTGGAGTTCAGGTAATGCTACACACACTTTGAACTGCGAACACGATGATGTATGGATTGCGCCATGATTCTTCTTGGTGTTGGTGTATCAAGTACCTGGACATTGATGCCTTTGGATATACTGCTAGCTTATAAACAGTGCAAGTGATACACTGATTGATTGTCATGAATTTTTATTAAAATAAATAACCAACATCAGCACAAATGTGTTAGTCCATAGTGCATTAGACCCTTTGCTGCCGTCCATTTTGTAATCAAAACTGCTGTTTCTTTTTGGTCATAGCCCCATTTAACAAAATGTAGACAGATTGCGGTGCACTGATTTGATTATGGGAATTTATAGAATCATGTATTGGTTAATAGAAACATCGGGACCTCCAGAATATTGACTGTTCGTTCATTGAGCTCGACTTTTCAATTACCTCGGTATGGTCGAACCATCGATAAATAGTATAGCCGCGCGGCTATACTGGGGGTTTTCTTAAATTTTTTTTAAATAAATAGTATAGCCGAACGGCTATACAGTTAAATATAATATATTTCACTAGTATAGCCTGGCGGCGATACTGGGGATTTTCTTAAATTTTTTTTAAATAAATAGTATAGCCGAACGGCTATACAGTTAAATATAATATATTTCACTAGTATAGCCTGGCGGCGATACTGGGGATTTTCTTAAATTTTTTTTAAATAAATAGTATAGCCGGCTATACTATTTATTTTAAAAAAATTTAAGAAAACCCCCAGTATAGCCGCGCGGCTATACAGGAGTCCTTTTTTTTTCCCCTTCATTTCGTTAATCGATATGAGTAGTTTAGAGCATTATCCATTTCTATTAGGCCATTACCCTAGTCTCTATTGTCCCCTTTTGATATTTTACTTTTCCAAAGTTATTATCCGTATAAATAATTTAGCATTTTGCCGTTTAATAATCGTATTATAAGTGTACGTACATATTTTTCAGCAATACTTCCTTTTTCGTACACAAATCAAACGTACAATACACATACATACGTATTTTTCATGTTTAATAAACGTGTTATTACAAAATTGTCAATAATACACACAAAATTCACGTATTATATACATAATTTTTACATATTATTGAATAAAAATATTATATATTAAAATATTATATAGTGGCTGAACTTTATGATCATTCATATGCTTCCTTTTACTCTTTGAGCTCACAAACCAAGTGAGTTTTGACAGAAGGTAAAATGAGTAAGACATTCTTCTCTAGTGCTTGGGAGTAAGGTAAATTAGCCTAAGGAAAAAGCAGAAAGAAGTTAAAAGAAAAAATTGATTAATACTCACTCTTGTAGGGTATCCAAGAAATGAAACATTAGATACGCTCAGCAGACCTAAAGAACCTGAAGCAGGAATGAAACGGTATATAACACATCAACAATGATCTCATAAAGCTTTGTAGATCCACTAGTAGCTTTCCGAGCTTTGTGTCCCTCCCATTATTCGATATTTAAAAATGTTTTCCCAAGTATGCTTTGGGTTGCCACGGTAAGTGCACCCACTTCCGTCACTCGGAGCCCTTGGTCGATGAGGTGGTGTAGTCTTGTTTGTAGGCGAGCCAACAATTGTTGCATAAGACTTCATCTGAAGCAGTACGATAGTAGAAATATGTGGTGTCTAGCCGGGCCGACTAGTCATCGAGTTGTGGCTGACTGACTGATTGGTGAACACCTTTGGCCACCAACCCTACTACAGTGGTTGCCTAATTGTCCATCATCACAGCTTGGCGAATATCCTCTCATCGAACATATGCATACACTTGCTCTACCATGGGAAACAGTTTCATCAGAAGTACGTCACTTTGGGTCTTGTCAAGTTGATCATCCAAGCCAACCAAAAATATTTAAACTTTATCTTCCTGGATAATGTCGTTGTACTTCTTAATATCAAATTCATACTCCATCATAGTCGGATGACGGAAGCTAATTTCTCTTCATAAGCTTTGGAGATCGTTGTAGTAAGCCTCAATTAAGCCACCTAATTGTCACATCCGGTGAGTTTGTCGTTTAAGGTCGTACACTTGAGAGGTATTGATGCCATCAAACTAGGTTGTGACAATCACATTTCATACTGATTTTGCCGTTAGATATCGAATAAAGGTGCTAATCAATTGAGGCTCCAAAGAATTGATTAGCCATCCTTTCACAACCACATTCTCTATTCGCCAGTAGGTGAAAGTCGGATTGATCAGAGGTGGTAGTGGGAGTACGTCGGTGAGATGTCCCAACTTGTATTTGCCGGCAACATACATCTCAACAACTTGGGACCAAATGGAGTAGTTGGAGCCATCCAACTTGATGCCAATCTAGGCAGCGAAAGCTTCATAGGTAAGGGTTGAGGTCGGGTTCTATATTTTCAAGAATTGGGCCATTTGAGTGGCTAGTTTTGCAAAGTTTAGTTGAGAAAGAGAAGCGGGGTTGGTGGTGCTACCTTCATGGGTGAGGAAAAAATCATCCTGCCCCATGGTGGCGGCTAGGGTTTAAAACAAGAGTCAGCAATCCCCAAGATCGTCGCTTTCAAGGGCGAAGCCAATTAAGACCTAGGAGGGTCATATGACCCTTATGACCCAATGGTAACACTTACAGTTTAGGCTTTTGTTTGCTCATTATTTCCAACTTGACCCTGAGAAAAGAATGCATGACCTTCTACCACGTAAGTGTTTTTATTCATGTTTAGTTTAATTAGCAACATCTTCCAATATTGTCTTAAAACCCATTAAATATTTTTGGAACAACAACCATTATAGTTTTCTTATATAAATTGAACTTATTCTAAAATATTTATGTAGAAAAACAATGGATACTTAAGATTTTAGGTTATTAATCTATTATCTCATAGTTTTATTAAGTTGTTGACCCCCCAAAGCATAATTTTTGGCTCCGCCAGTGGTTGCTTTGATATCATGCAAAAATATGAGATATCAAAGAATATTGTTTATGGGAATTTTCTGTGTATTCTTCTCCTTATAGGAGACCATATATATAGTACAATAAAACGTTGTAGGTCAATGAAAATAATAACTCCTAATTCTATTTACAGTAGGAAATCGGGAATTAAAGTAAATCAATTACTTTTGATGTAGGAATCCTTGGTGTGCAAGGAAAGTAAACTTATACCACAAGTCATGCCAACAACTAGTACAAAAAATGCCTTAGACGATGATGTCCTAAATACTCGTCTTATTTTGTCAGATGATAGTTTGTCATAAAACCATCGTCTAATAAGGTGTAAAACGTTTAGAGCATCATGTTTTTAAAATGTACATATTTAAAGGACGACAATTTTTAACAAACTGTCCTGTGTCTCATTTGCATCAAAGGCAAAATCTAATGAACACTGTTTTGATGCGGAGCTTACGTAGAATAAAATTAAAAAAACTCGTGTACACAAAAAAAAAGACTCTTTTTTTATCCGGAAAAAAAAAAAAGACTTGAAGCATTCTTTGACAAAAAAGGGGACTCATACATGTCTGATTAACTATATAGCTCAACTCACTCATTTGCCCTCAAATTCCTCTAAAAGTCTAAACGAGTCGGTTCATAAAATCCCTTTAAATTCCTCTAAAAGTTTAAACGAGTCGGTTCATAAAATCCCTTTAAAGTCGTTCACATTCCTTTTCTCAATTTCAACTCAGGAGTGTAAAAGCATATAAAGAGACTTCACCGTTCAATCAACATCTCATAAGCCTTTCCAAGTGTTTCGTACCAAGATTGAGCTACACATACATATCGAAACCAAATTCATAAACTTGAAGAGAGCAAGACTCTTTTTATTTAATTTAATTTTTTAAAAACATTTATGTGTTACGGAAAAGATAAGTTCTCGAAAAAATTCTCAAAATTTTCCATCTCAAGAATTGGCACGTGGCTTGCCACTAATTACTATGGTGCCCTATTGCAAACATGTAACTTCAGGAAATCATAGGGACAAATTTGTAATTTAGCATATCTCCTTCTTAAGCCGAAACTTGTAACCCCTATATAATGGACCCCTGCAAAGGTAGGGTTTACGATTCTTAAAAACTTCCTCCTTGCTTTGAGCCTCCAATCAATCGGAGCAGTCCTAGCCGAAAATTAGCTCTCTCTCTCTCTCTCTCTCTCTCTAGCTTTTCTTGTCCGTGTATAGATTCTCGCACATAGTTCTTCTTGGAAACCCATTCTCTATGAAAATTGTTTCCAGGATTTTATTTGTGCGTAAATCAAAATCCTTTCTGCTTGAACCTTCTCCTTAAAACCCATGGAGATGTGTTCCAATGTTTATTGGATAACATTTTTTTTTTTCTTAACCCATTTCAATATTTTGATTTTTCCCTTTCACCTGGAATGTTTTGTTGCTGCTTCGATGTTTTTGCTTTTATTTTTTTAGGATTGGCCGTTGATAATTTTTCTTGGGATTTTATAGCAGTAACTAAGCGCGTACAAATATTTGGATTCCAATTTCTAGCTCGGATTGAAAAAAATATGAAAAAAAGAACGAAGTTTCGATCAAACTTGTCGCGGCATAAAGGGGATCCAGCATTATCACTACACAATTGAATCTAAGATTAGGTGTATCATAGATCACTTGAGACGTTCAAAACCTAAGTGTTCTTGCAATTTTATTAGATTAGAATACAACTTTTTTTTTTCTTTCGTGTATTTTGCATCAGCCTGGGTATTGCTAGAACTCTTTTACTTTAAGGGTTTTTTGTTCGAAATGGTCTTTTTTCTTTGGTGTCAAATTAACGATTTTAACACTAAAATTGATGGTAATATTAACGTAGTTTGACGGTGGGATCAATTTGACACAAGAGAGAGTTGGAAGACCATTAGAGTCTAAAAATTAATTGAAGGAAACTTGGGTATAATATAAGTTCATGGACCATTTCAGTCAAAAACCCTTAATTTAAATTTTAGACACACCAATTGTGTTTATATTGTTTTAGCTTAATTATTTATTTGACATTTGAAACTCAGTTCTAGTCTCACTTGGCCCTATGAAATTCAATTTGTGTCATTTTAACCCTTGAAACCCCATGAAATTCACTTTGCCTCATTTCAATTTGTGACTTCCATTTCATCAGGAAGCGTGTGCAGCGCAGAGATTTCTATTTCATCTCCAGCAAGCGTGTCCAGCAAGTCTTTCCATTTCATCTGTTTCGTACCGGATTGAAAAAAAAAAATGATAAAAAAAAACAAAGTTTCAATCAAACTTGTCACGGCATAAAGGGGATCCAGCATTATCACTACACAATTGAATCTAAGATTAGGTGTATCATAGATCACATAAGACGTTCAAAACCTAAGTGT